AGGCAGAGGAATACCACCCTCCACACACCAGGGAAGGCCTCCTGGGGAGCTGCTGGAGAAAAATCCAGAGCTTTGAGCCGGTGAGGATGTTAGCTACAGGTCTTCGTCCGCACTGGGGTTCCTGGTTCCCAGGGCACAGGAGGGGCCCCCAGCTGGTTCTGCAGCTTTGGCAGGAGGCTGCTTCATAGGCATCCCAGGGACGAGGATGCTGGAAGAGACCAGTGAAGTGGTGAGAGGCGCCGGTGCGCACAGCTGCTGTGGCCTGCCCTGGGAGGCTCTGCTCGGTCCCTTCCCTCCCTGATGCAAGCAGCAGGGAGAATGCATTATTTTTTCATTAAAAATTCATTTTGGAACAGATAGCCTTCAGAGATGTAATTAGCCACATTATTTCTCTCCATTAGCAGTCCCTGGAGTTTGCTGGAATTTCTTGTCCTTTTTCCTCCCCATTTCACTCTTTCCATTGGCCTTTAAAAGCTACATGGTAGCACTTCTGCCTCCCTCCCCCAATCCTCAGCACCCGCTCTGGATCTGGACAGAATACCGGAATTCCAAGTTCAGAATCTGAAGAAGGAGTGATGGCAGACTCCCTCCTCCCCAGTGGGCTGGGGGATCACAGTCCCCTGAGCCAGCAAGGGGTTCACTCCTGCAAGATGCCCCCTCCTGCCAGTGTGAGAGTTCGGCTGGTGGCAAAGCTGGGTGGGGGTAGGAGATTCCTGACTCCCCACTTACTCTCTGGGTGGTCCCAGGCAAGTAACTTAACCTCTCTGGGCTTCTGCCGTCCTCACAGGTTGGTCCAGAAGAGCACTGATGGTTGTTAAGCACTTCCCCTGAGGTAGATAGCAAAGGCCCTGTGGTCTGGATGTCTGAGGACAACAGGGGACTTCTGGGGGCCAAATGATCAGCAGACATGACAGCCATCGCCGGAGATAGTCAGAGCTAAGGGCTAGAAGTCAGGGGTCAGGGAGATCCATGATGAGGACCCCCTATGGGGCAAGGCCCCTTCAGAGCAGCAGGGAGTTCACGGGGACTCAGGCCCAGCTGTCCAGGGCAGAGTGGCTCTCTTTTGATGATTCTGGAGGATTCTCAGCCCTGAGTTGCTCCTGTGGGTTATTTCTGGTGCATATGACAGCTGAATGGGAGGTCATCATCTTCAACTGCTGGAGCGAAGTGGTGCCTCCCCAAGACCTTAATAATGACCCAATATGCAGTGAATGACCCCTTAGCACTCTGACTGGCTCAGCAGACTTCAGCATGGCTGGCTACTTCTCTGGGGGATTCCAGCTACCACGGTGCTCGGAGGACAGCCACCTGCAGCCCAGCTCCCGGCTCCCTGCTTCCCTCACATTAGTGACAGATGACGTGCAGCTGTCTTCAGCTTAGTCAGAAATACTGCACTCCATGGGGGCGAGGGCAGGAAACCTGCTGTGGGGAAGCTAAACTTATCCCGGTTCCTCACAATGAGGGGCAAAGAGAAAAATGCAGCCTGAGCATAAAAGATCATTGGCACTTTGCGATGAGATAAAATGCGTGTGATTTACACCAAGAACTAGCATGGCCGGGACGTGGACGGTCGTGGGGAGATGTCCTTTGAAGGGGCTGGCAGATTGCTGTTACGGGGACACAGTCCCATCACATGGCACAGAGGGGTGGTATGTCGCATTGACATAAAGAGCTCGAGGGAACTTAATTTCTAATAATTGCCGCAGTCTGCTGGGGTAGTAATCCTGGTCCTTAGGTTCCTGGAGAAAAGCAGAGCAGCAGAAACTGACCAGCTCACAGGATCTTTGAACTTTCACACAGGTGTTTCGAGAAGCCTCACGGAAGCAGGCAGCCCCTTGACTTGAGTCTAGTTCATAGTGACTTTAATGGACACATCCGGGCATCCCTAACAAAAATAGAGATGCTGAGGTTAGTAATAAACAGCATGGACTGCATGGCCCTGTGCTCCAGGCCCAGGCCAGCCTCTTTACACACACAGCTTCACTTACCCTTCAGTTCCGTGAGGTAGTATCACATGTCTCCCTTCCCATGACCCCCCTCAGTAAGGGTAAGAGCAAAACCACATTTAGGGAGGAGGTCCCCTGCATGGAGGAGAGCAAGTTGCGCAGCAATGCCCGCCACCAGGAACAAGCATCGCGAGATGCCAACCCACTCCAACCCAGGTGTTGGCATCCCCAGCAAAGACACTACTCACACAGGCCCTGGAGGAAACAAGGAGATGCTCACGCCAAGAGACAGATTGGGATCCACTTCAGCAGTGGGCATTAGTTCCTTGTGGCCAGTTGGTCTGGTCCTCCAGCCAACACAGGGCTATGATCTGCACGCACGCCTCTCCTGCTGCAGACAAAGGACCTCTCTCCCTCCCCACTGGGAAGAGATTGACCAGGCGCCACTTAACCCACATACTTAAGCAGAACAAAGGAGCGCACATTGAATCTGGAAGAGAGACAGACATTCCCGCAGGAGGTGATCAATCCAGCCCAGGCTGTGAGGACTCCCCGCCTCTTGGTAAGGAAGTGTCCCAGACCCAGTGCCCACTCCGGAGTGGCCAAGCAGAGGTGGAAAGCCAAGGTGGGACCAAGGTCACGTGGTTGGTCAGGCGGCATGATCAGGATTTGAACCTGGGTTTTTCTGGTGCCAAAGCCCATGAGCTTTCTCACTGCGTGGGCCCTGCACTTCTGAGGAAAGAGTCTTCTCCAAACACCTTCCACACCTACCTGCCACCTTCCTGCCTTACCACCACCCACTTCAGCCAAAGGACAACCCAGATTCTCCCAAGATGGGCTGGGAGCCTTGTTCCCTCCCAGGACTTAATGCCAATTCTAGATCTCTCCAAGCTTTGCCCATACTCCTCTACCAAGAATAATACTCGATAAGCTGGGATTCTTGCCCCCTGAAGAACCCCCAGGCACAGAAATTTACAGCAATAAAACTGAGCTGCTGCCAAGGAGGGGGAAATGCATAAAAGAAAAGTGATGGGGGGGTATGTAAAGAATTTGGGGAATTACGTAAATAAATGGATGTGGTAAGGACCATTCAGCCCTGAAGACACGAGATTGACACATGTAAATTCCTTGTAAATTTCAGCAGAAGGAGTAAAGGGGATCAACAACGATTCTTGCTTCAGTGTCCTGCAATTCCATTTGAATATTAAGCCTCCATGTGCTCTGACGCTTTTGTAACATGACCAAACTATACCAGCTAATTTGGGCCCCGGTTATTATCTACAATTTACAGACAAGGAGCCAGAGGTGAAAGGAAGTTCAGTAGACGATCTATAGCTATCGTGTTCATTTTAGAAGCCAAGTCAGATTTAGCACACAGTTTTTCCAACTCCCTGCCTGATCCCCGAGCTTCTTAGGGAAAAATTGCAGTTAATTCTCAGTTGTCGACATCTTTAATGTGGAGGAACAGAGGCATAGATAATCCCAAATGGTGAGTAATGCCCCATGCCATGCCTCCTGCTCTGGACATTTGCTCTGGAAGCTTCTCAAAGCTTCTCGCAGACCTCAGAATGGAGGCACCCTGCTGTGGGAGGCTGCCCCATCCTCATTTCACCCCTTCCTGCTCAAAGCCACCCACCTCCCGCTCCAAGAAGACCTAGGGGCGGCAGATTAAGGGGACGATGCTAGAATGCTTTCCTAGGCTGGCAAGGAGTCGGGGAGGGAGGAAGAGGATAAGGTGTTTTGATTTAAAAGGACCCCCACAGTGCCGCAAGCTAGCAGAACAGTAACAGTAAATGAGACAATGAATTGTGTCCACTAAAGAGTTCTGTGTGGATGCTGATCCATTATGTTAATAAGGATGTGAGAGCTGGAGGTGGACTGTATTCTGCTTTCATGGCTGGGGGACCCAAGGCTCCGAAGGGGGGAACATCCAAATTTAAGGTCAGAGTCCAAATTCCACCTCCAAGCTCCTGATTCCTAATTGGTTGATCTAATTACTAGCATCTCTTAATGACTATGGATGCTTTCAAGCCAGATGGCTCTCATGGCCGGGACCTGGGTAGAGACGCAAGCAATGCTTAAGGTAGAGAACCAGTGAGGCCAGAGCCAAGAGGAGCCAACATCTCAGATTCATTCAGCAAATACTGAGAACCTGCCAAGTGCCAGGCTGCAGGGATTGGTACTGGAAGGAAAGCACAAAGGAATCAGGCATTGACCATGGCCTGAGGAACCCAGGGTAGGAAGGGAGACAAGGCCCATATAGAAATCTCTGTAATATCTTCAGAGAGGACAGTCAGATGAGATCTACAAGAATTTCGCTTATTCTTCCATTCAATTAAGTCATTTATTCAGTCATGCGGGCACTGTCTTAAGTGCTCTGGATATAAGGAAAAATAAGACGGGTAACTAACCCCAGAAGCTAGCAATCAGATACACATACTGACACTGAATCACCTGGGAAGTTTTTCAAAATACAGGCCCCCAGGCCCCCAACCCAGACAACTGATTCTGAATCCCGGGAATCGATACCTGAGAAAACTGAAGCTCAGATTCTAGGTGTTATCTGGGTTTGGGCAGTGATCTGTGGGATAACAAGGGGAGCGAGCCAGAGGAGGGATACCCAGAAACAGGGAGGAAGGCTTCCTGGCCCACCTTTCCTAGGAAACCTGCCCCGACCTGCCCAGCACCCTGATCTGCATGTTCTTATCCCCAACCTCCACTGTACATCCTGTGTCCTGTGTACAGGACATGTACACAGGATGTCCTGTGATTTTTCTGGCTGACCAGTAGATTTAGTTGGTTCCTGCATGTGTGTTACCTCTGAGGCTGAGCACTCCCATGTTCCAAGGTCATTATGATGAGGGTTCCAGGGGCCTTGTGACAAACACCACCTGGCTCTGTTCAGCTATAGGAGGTCAGGGAGAGGCTAAGTTCCTCCTGGGAATGAAATTCATTCCCTAAAAGGAAGAGCACTTTCCCCTGCTAATGAAGCATCATTTAGGGCTCTAAGTGAGCTTTGGTCAGAAGCTGCTTTGAAGACGTCCAGCAGGGCCCATGACCACCCTTTCTCCCGAAAACAGTCTCTCTGCAAGGTGGTCGGCCTCCTTCATCCTGGTATGTGTTCAGTCCATCCTTTCCCAACTTCTGGTTTGCATGTGGCTTTCCTCAGTGGGATGGGAAGGGCTAGAACCCTGATCTGGCCTACAAGATTGAGCAGGATAAATTATACATTGATCTTACATCAGGACTGAAAAACGCAGGTCCCCTTCCTCCCTTTCACCCTTCTTCCTTTTTTTTTTTTTTTAAGATTTTATTTATTTATTTGACAGAGATCACAAGTCGGCAGAGAGGCAGGCAGAGAGAGAGGAGGAAGCAGGCTTCCTGCTGAGCAGAGAGCCCGATGTGGGGCTCGATCCCAGGACCCTGGGATCATGACCGGAGCCGAAGGCAGAGGCTTTAACCCACTGAGCCACCCAGGCACCCCTCACCCTTCTTTCTAAGCCAGTTACCTCTCCCCATACATCACGGTCTAACTTTAATGACTTCTAGATTTGCAAGTTCAATCACGGAGATGTTGATAAATTTTCCTTGGTATTTTTGCCAACAATTTTGGTATGCTGCCACCAGGTGGCAGTAATGCCTTTGTTAGCACGTGGTTTCAAGCCCATTTAACAAGATACATCTTTTCTTTTCTTTTTTTTTTTTTTTTTAAGATTTTATTTATTTATTTGACAGAGAGAGATCACAAGTAGGCAGAGAGGCAGGCAGAGAGAGAGGGAAGCAGGCTCCCCGCAGAGCAGAGAACCCGATGCGGGGCTCGATCCCAGGACCCTGAGATCATGACCTGAGCCGAAGGCAGAGGCTTTAACCCACTGAGCCACCCAGGCGCCCCAAGATACATCTTTTCATTAAAAGTCAGCCTTAGTCATAAAAGTTCTCCACACGGTGTATTTTTCAAAATCATAAAAACTAATTATAATGACCACAACCAATCTCAAGTTTCATTAATCCTAATGATTAATACACAAGAAAGCCGAGAGGCAAAATGGGTACCTCTCTCCCTGAGTTTTAAATGTTATGGCTTTATTGCAAATTGTCACCAGGTCTTGATTTGGATTTTCTTTATATCTTTACTCATTTCTCTGAACTTACAGAGTGATAATAATAAAATAACGAACAGTCACATAGCCTTTAGTATGTACCACAACTGTTCTAGAGGCTTTATCTATAGTCATTTATTCTCACCGTAAACCTATATGAAGTAGATGATTCTATTATCTTCGTTTTATGAGAAAGTTGGGGCACAGAGACAAAACAACTTGCCTAAGGTCACGCAGCTGGTAAGTGGCAGAACTGGTATTTAGACCCAGACTGTGGAGTCCATCTTCCAAATCAGTGACTCTCAAAATGTGGTGCCCCAAACTGCCCCATTAACATCAACGGGAAACTTGTACTGCAGACTCTTGATCCCCAGGTGTCCCGAACCAGAAATTCCCAGGGTGAGGTCCAATGATCTGTGTTTTAACAAGGGCTCCAAGTGAGTCTGATGTGCAACTAACCTTGAGAGCCATTGTCTTAAACCATTCATTTAATCACTATGCTATACTGATGACACACCCCCATACCTGGGCTGGTAATAATCACCCTGGTAAATTTCAAGTGGCACTAATGCCTCCTCCACCCCAATTTTAATATTCCTTCCCTGCTTGGTCACCCTGCCCTCCCCTGGGTGAAATCACTGACATGATGAGCCACTCTTACAGTTGGGGGTGTATCTTGTCCCTCAAGGGAACCAGAGTAGAAGAGGTTGAGGACCATAAGCAGCCTGTGACCCTTCCTACGCCTACTAGAGACTCTGTTGCTATGAGTTTTCAGAGCAACATAGCATCAGAAGCCCTCCTGGAAAGCTTGCCTTATCCTCCAGTCGCTTTCCTATTTTACTAAAAATATTAGAGGGGGCACCTGAGTTGCTCAGTCAGTTAACCATCTGCCTTTGGCTCAGGTCATGATCCCGGGGTCCTGCGATTGAGCCCAGAGTCAGGCTCCCTGCTCAGCGGGAAGCAAGCTTCTCCCTTTCCCTCTGTGTGCTCTCTCTCTCTCTCTCAAATAAATAAATAAATCCGGGTGCCTGGGTGGCTCAGTGGGTTAAAGCTTCTGCCTTCACCTCAGGTCATGATCTCAGGTCCTGGGATCAAACCCCGCATCAGGCTCTTTGCTCCGCGGGGAGCCTGCTTCCCCCCCCCCCACCCACCTGCCTCTCTGCCTACTTGTGATCTCTGTCTGTCAAATAAATAAATAAAATCTTTAAAAATAAATAAATAAATAAATAAATCTTTTAAAAATTCTAAAAATTAAAATATTAGAGAAAACCCTTAACACGATGATTCAGAATAGAAGAAGGTAGGGTGATATATGCTTGCAGCCAAGCCTTCCCATAGCAGATAGATGCTAGAGAAACTGAACCACTTAGGACTCCTACTTCTGGCCCGGACTATTCTGGAGGAAACATGGCCATGGTGTCGCTTTTGCTGGTGGGGAGCTTTAACCTGTTGAAGCACACCGTAAAGGTGGGAGACTTTCACAATTGGTCTACCTATCAGTAACTAGAAGAAAAGCTACTGCAGAGCTGAAGAAGAGTATCCAGCACCTCCGGGACTACATATCCCCCCAGGCTAAACACCCTGATTCTGGCGCCAAAGATCTCTGTATTCAAATCTCATCCCTGATATTCACTGTATGACCTCTGATATACTAAATAATCCCCTCTCCCAGCCTCAGTTCCCTGATCAGTAAAATAGTGTGATAACCACACCTACTGGGGCACCTGCATGGCTCAGTCGGTGCAGCATCTGCTTTCTGCTCAGGTCACAATCTCAGGGCCCTGGGATTGAGCCCCACATCAGGATCCCTGCTTGGTGGGGAGTCTGCTTCTCCCTCTCTTGCTCCCCCTGCTTGTGTTCCCTGTCTCTCAAATAAATAAATAAAATCTTAAAAAAAATAAATAACCACACCTACCTTGTAGGTGGCTGCAAAGATTAAATGATAAGTACAAAGTGCCTAGGACAGTGCCTGGTACATCATCAATGCTTTGTAAATCAGAGAATATAATACATTTATTTTCATAATTGATTCATTTGGGTTTCTATCATTTTTATGCTTTATGCTTTTGTGAATTCCTTGTTGCTTCCTGTATTACCTGCTTTTATTTTTAAAAGTGAATTAGAAGGAAAATGCCCTGTTCCTATAAATCTCTAATTTTTTAAGTAAAAAAAAATTTTTTTTCTTCTGACTCCATCCCTCAATCTATTAAAAAAAAATGTTTGTAGTTAAAAATCTTCTCACAAAAAACACTCTAGGCCTCGGAGTCTTCACTGGTGAGCTATATTAAATATTGAAGAAAGAAATGCTACCTATTCAATACAAACTATGCTTGAAAATTTTAAAGTGGGAACCCATCCCTGCTCCTCCTATGAAGCCAGTATGACCTTGGTACCAAATCAAAGACGTTACAAGAAGAGAAAATTGTAGACCAATATCTCACGTGAACACTGATGCAAAGATCCAAAATAAAATTAAGCATATAGTCTCCGATAATGTATAAAAAGGATAACATATCACCAGTGGGGTTTGTCCAAGCAATGCAAGGCTGATTTAACATTCAGAAGCATGCGACATAATTTACCGTATTAACAAACTAAGAAACAAAAACTGTACAATCATTTCAACAGATGCAGAGTATTGTTTGAAAAAAACCAATAACCATTCCTGATTAAAAACTCCCAGCAATCCAGCAGGGGAACAGAACTTCCTCAACCTGATAGCGGGCAGCTACAAAAAGCCTGCTGTGAATATTATGCTGAGTCATGAAAGTCTGAATACTTTTCCTCTAAGACTGGGAACAGAGCAAAGATACCTGCTCTCACCATGTTTATTTACCTCTGCAATGGAAGGTCTAGCCAGTTCATAAATACATACATACATACATACATACATACATACATAAATTTTTACAATAACATCCCCCTAACCGAAAATATTTAGGGATAAATCTGACAAAATATATGAACAGCCTACATACCTACAAAATAATGCTGAGATAAATTTAAAAAGACCTAAATAGAGAAATACAGAATATGTTAGTCTTTTTGTGCCATATGTCTCTGTTGCAACCACTTAACTCTGCTATTTTAAAGATTTTTATTTATTTATTTATTTGAGAGAGAGAGAGAGAGAGAGAGAGAGAGAGAAAGCACAAGCAGAGGGAGGGGCAGAGGAAGAGGGAGAAAGAAGCAGGCTCCTTCCCTGAGCAGGGAGCCCAATGTGGGGCTTGATCCCAGGACTCTGGGATTATGACTTGACCTGAGGGCAGGTGCGCAACAGACTGAGCCACCCAGGGGCCTCTTCACTCTGCTATTTTAGCGTGAAAGCAGCCATAGACGATACATGAATGAATGGGCACGGCTGTATGCCAATAAAACTTTATTTAAAAAAAAAAAACAGGTTGCAAACCAGATTTGGCCCATGGGTTGCAGTTTGCTCATTGTTGGCTTCTATAATAAATCCCCATGGAAACCACAAAAGCTACTAAGACTAATAAGTGAGGTTAACAACGTGGCAGGATACGAGATCAATATATAAAAACCCATTGTAAAATGAAACAGGATGGGATCGGGAGGGAGAAAAACCATAAGAGACTCTTAATCTCACAAAACAAACTGAGGGTTGCTGGGGGGAGGGGGGTTAGGGAGAGGGTGGTTGGGTTATGGACATTGGGGAGCGTATGTGCTATGGTGAGTGCTGTGAAGTGTAAAACTGGTGATTCACAGACCTGTACCCCTGGGTCTACTAATACATTATATGTTAATAAAAAAATAAAAAATTTTCAAAAATGTATTTCTATATACTAGCAACGAACAATTGGAAGTTGAAAGTTTAAAAATAACACCTTTTACAATAACATCCCCCCAACCCAACATATTTAGCGATAAATCTGACAAAATACATGAAAAATCTACATACCTACAAAACAATGCTGAAAAATTAAAGAAGACCTAAACAGATGGAGAAATACACCATGTTCATGAGTCAGAAAGCTCAGTATTATGGTCAATTCTCCCCAAACTGACCTATAAATTCAGCACAGTCCCCATCAAAATCACAGCTGCCTTTACTGTAGAAATTGATAAGCTGACTAAGAATTCTATGGAAATGCACTGCCAAAGTTCCCTTTCATGATTAAGGACCCCAGGACGCAGCCCAGCATTGCCTACTCTCTCTTGCTTCCTGCCACGGTTCATGCTGAGTGTCGCAGTCTGAATATAGGTTGGGAGAACACGATGGCAGGCTGAGGGTCGGAAGCCGGGCTCTGCTCAGACAACAGTGTCTATGCAACTGGGGCATGACATCAGGACAGAGCCTGCTTCCCAAGGTTAGCCAACAATGAGGGTGGAATTGGGGGGTTTTTTGTTTGTTTTGTTTTTGTTTTGTTTTTTCGTATCTTCTTGGGCCCTTGTGTCCTATTTTGGTTCAGAAGATAGATCCTGGAGGCATTACTAAGGGGCTCAATCCATGCCTATCAAATGTGGCGTTAGTGGAAATGATCGCTAATCTTGGCCCGTGGGTTCTGATTATTTTTTTAATTTCCAGTGCTAAAGCGACTTCTAACAGCTTCCTCTCGCACGGTCCTCGGACCAGCAGCAGCAGCAGCAATCTCCTGGGAGCTTGTTAGAAACGCATCACCCTGAGCCCCACCCCAGACCCTCAGAGTCAGAATCTGCTTTTTAGGAAGATTCTCAGAGGACTCCTATGCAAATTCAATTTGAGTCACACATGGGCACGTTCGGGTGTATATCCCTGTATATATCCCTAGGGAGTTGGGAGTGTGCCTATCACACAGAGCGAGTCACCTGCCAAGCTCTGTCCATCAACCCGTCCTCGTGCCTGCAATAATGGCATTTCAAGATTCGCTTCTCTCCAATAAAGGCTTCCTCTAGGAAGCTCCCCCCATTCTGGCAGGCGCTCTTACCTCCTGGTTACTGTCTTATGAGCACTTTTAATTACTTCCCAAGCAGTGTCCTCACCTCCCCCCATCTCTCTCTCTCTCTCTCTCTCACACACACACACACACACACACACACACACCCCTCTCTTATGTAAACCAGAAACCATTTCTCACGATGAACTCTTTGACTCTTCCAGGAAAGGCAAAAGTTAGCTCATGGGAGTGTTTAGCGCTTATTTTATATCTTTCCACTATCAAAGTCGGAAAAATTATTACAGAAAAGTTTGAAAACACAGGAAAAAAGAAAAGATGATACAGGACCCTATTTCTCCAAGATAATCACTCTAGCTTTTGGTTGGTTGTTGGTTTTGTTTTTGTTGGTTTTTTTTTTTTCAATTTTTTCCATAACAGAATTGCCCTAGTGATTAATGCACTATACATTAGAGTATATAAGGCATAGTTTTCATAATATGTGACAGGTCTATGGGGAGTATAGCACGTAGAGAGGATAGAGGCTAGATACTGAATGTATAATTTTGTATTCTGCTTTTTTTGGTTAATATTTTAATGTTTCCAGGTTTTCATTCCCTGTAAGCCCCATTTTTTAAGTGCCTCACAATATTCCATTGAGCATATAAATTATATTTATTTAACTATTTCCTTATTGCATGTTAGAGCAAGTGCGGTTTTTCCTTTTGGTAAGTAATGCACCGTGAAAATTATGGTGTATTCAGCATTTTTCTATAACTTTGCAGTAATTTCTTTAGGATAGATTTCCAGAAGTGAGTCAGAGGCAGGGAACTTGATCCATATAGCAAACTCCAGATGACAGGATGGGGAAAAAAAAATAAAACTTAAAAAAGAAAAGCCACAGGTTCCTAACAGAGGGCTGAAGTGATTGTCCTTGCCAGGCGAAGAGAAAACCACCCATTGACAAGACAGAATGGGATGGCTTCTTCGATGAGAACGGTCTATTGGCCAAGTCACGAGACCTCATTTGTGTGAACATCCTGGAGCGGGTACGGTCCCCAAGGCCTTGCCCTGGCACTGGAGGGCACAGGTGGGCAAGGGGCAGGCGTGGCATTTGGAGACACCCTCTTGGCAGGCATCTGGAGGTCTCCTGACCTCTCACCCCCACCCCAGGGTCTGCACCCCTTCGTGAGGACAGAAGCCTGGAAGTTCCTCACGGGCTACTACTCATGGCAGAGCTCCCAGGATGAGCGGCTCACCGTGGACAGTACAAGGAGGTAGAACATTCCAGACCCTGTCAGGGGAGGGTAGGTGACAGTGCCCATTCCAGCCTGACAATTGCAGTCTTCTTCCCCCCCAATGGATTTCTTATTCTAAGAGACAAAACCGCCCCTGTGCTCCTGACCCAGGACGTGAACACGGGAGGGGCCAGCACCTTCCCGCTCAGCTCCAATCAGCCGTGCACAGATGGCCCGGAAGGGGCTTAATCCCAACAGCTCCTTGTCCCCGCCACTACCCAGTCCCTTCCTCCCCTAGGGCCTAAGCAGTCTAGTTGAGCTGAAGATTCATGCACAAAGGGCCAGTGGAGAACCATTCAAGGCAGTAGGGGAACTGAGGGCTGGCCTGGAAAGCTCGAGAGCCATGACAAGAGCCCGTGTTAGCTCTCCAAGGCTGCTGTCACAGGCACCACAAATAGGGTTTGCAACAGTGGGAATCTATTCCCTCGCTTCTGGAGTCCAGAAGCCCAAAAGCAAGGTGCCAGCAGTGCCCCACTCCCTGAAGGCTCTAGGGGAGAGTCCTCCCCTGCCTCTGAGGTTTTTGGTGGTTTTGGGGACTCCTCCCATCTCTGCCTCCGTGGTCACACGGACTTCTCCTCTCCCCTCTGTCTGTCTCTGTGTCTCTGCGTGTCCTTAGAAGGACACTTGTCACTGGATTTAGGGTCCACTGAGATAATCTAGATTGATCTCATCTCAAGATCCTTAACTACATCCGCAAAGGCCCTTTTTTGAGTAAGTTCACATTCACAGGATTTAGTAGTTAAGGTATAGACATGGCTTTGAAGGGTCACCAGCATCCTACAGCACCTAAGCATGTCCTAATGATGGACACTAAACACTGCCTCATGCAGGCCTTCTGACTCCAAGGTGCCAGGATGACCCCCATTCTACAGAAGAGGAAACTGAGTCTTAGAGAGGGATCATGATGTCCCCAAGGCCTTACCTTCGTTGCAAACTCTCAGTTATTAATTGTGGAGCCAGAAATCAGGAACAGCTGTGAGACCCCCCAGGGCCACAAGGCTGAACCTGCTTCCATGCTGCCTTCCGGGGGCACATGAGCACAGAACAGCACAGTTAGGGCTGGCGCAGACCAAGATGAGGGAAGCCTCACAGGTAGGGGGAGAGCCTAGTGGAGAGCGCTGCTCAGACTGCCCTTGACTGGTGAGGAGAAGGCTGTCTCCTCCAGCCTCAGTTCTGTCTGCTCAGGAAGAACTATGAGGCCTTATGCGAGATGTATAAAAAGATTCAGCCCCTTCTGGAAAACCTGCACCGGGACTTTATGGAGACTCGGAATTCCATCGGTGAGCAGAGTTGGGTGGGCAGGGCTGTGTCGGGCGGGGGAGCCTGAGGCCATGCCTGCCTGCTCCTCAGTCATATGCAGGGGCAGGTGGTTTCCTGGTTCCTGGGAGAGGCCTTGAATTCTGGAATTCTGCTGGCTAAACCCTGGTTAGTCCACCCATCATGTCTCCTAGGGGCTCCTACATGCCTAGCGTCGTATTCCCTTGAGTGCATGCTGTTCCTGCTGCTTTATCTTCATCTCTCCCTTTTGGCCTTGAACAAGACTGGATTTCAATGGACGGGGCCCATGGAGTGGGGATGGGGGGGGCGCATTCCTAGCAAAGGGTATGGCCTAGTCAAAGATTCGGAGGTGGGGACAATGCCAGGCAGCTCAGGGCGTGGTGCTGGGCAGACCCTTGTGGGCAGATGTCATTTTCACAATCCCCTCCCCAGGGTGCCCTGGGTCCTGCCCTTTGGGGGAATAAACTCATTCATGGCCCCTCTGCTGAGGCCATCTGGTGCCACTGACCTGTCTCTTGTCCCCAACCTAGCGTATGACATTCAGAAACTCTACGACAAAGACCACCTAGGCAACGTCATTATCGACAAGAAGAGACTGGAGAAAATCTTGCTCCTGAGTTATGTCTGCAATACCCAGGCAGGTGGGCCAAGGGGCTGGGCCACCCCTGAGCCCCCCTTCTCAGTTCCTTCCTGGAACCCCTTCCCTGCCCAAGCCCGGGGCTCACCCGTCCTCACTGTCTCCCCTCCCCCACCCAGAGTACCAGCAGGGCTTCCACGAGATGGTGATGCTTTTCCAGCTGATGGCAGAACACGACCATGAGACCTTCTGGCTTTTCCAGTTCTTCCTGCAGAAAACGGTGAGGGCTGGGCCTGAGCTCAGGGCCCACCTCCCTGCCACTCCCCAGACACCCCCCGGAGGTCAGGCAGGCAAGGGGAGCCCCGGCTCTTTCCTCCAGCCACAAAACAGCCCTCTGGGTCCCAGAGGAGCCTGGGGAGGCAACACTCACCCCAGTGAGTTTATTGGGGGGTGGGCTGTGTGTGTTGCAGGCATTGGAGTTGAGGAGGGGGCTGCAAGGGTGCTCTGGGTCCAGTTCTCACCAAACCTTGAAAGAGTGTAACTGGCCAGTCCCAGGGATGGCTGCCTCTTCCTGGCATTCCACCCCCCCCACCAAACAGGGCTCTGCTCCCACAGAACTTCCATGGTTCCCTGTCGCCTCCAGAATAAGATCTGGTAACCTTGGCCAGGCATTCAAGGACTATCTGTGGCCTTCTCTCTCACTGCTCCTTTCACATGACCCACAGTTCAGACCCACCAGGGGACTGGCTACTCCCCAGATGCACCCCACAGTGATCAGGTTGAGGGCTTTTGAAGTGGCTCTCTCCAGAACACCCTCCTTTGGAAAGCCTTTCCTCATGGTCTGGGAGCGGCTGTCCAGAATCAACCCTCATCCCTTTCTCCCTCCCTGGAACAATGGGCTTGATGCTCTTCCCCTGTCCCACTTAGTTCTGTCCGCATAGCCGGGCTGGCTGCATTGAGAGCCACACCTGAGACATCCCTGGATCCCCACCCCCGACACACACACGTAGGTGCATACACATATATAAAAGAGCACACCTACACACCCAGATCAAGGAGAGACAGACTTGACGTGAGTGTGTGCGTTCGCACACAGAGCCAGGCTCATACTGACACGAGTCCAGCCCGGAGCCAGCCACGCACAGGGCCTCTGGCACTGAGTCGCTGGTGACCCTGGCCAGCCCTCAAGCCAAGAAAGATTCGGTTGCCCTTGCTCCCGCCCATCTTTCTCAGGAGCACAGCTGTGTTATCAAGATCGGAGTTGGCAAGAACCTGGATATGCTCAACACTCTGATCAACTTCTTGGACCCCGTGTTTGCGGAGCACCTAAGTGAGTAGACCACCCCCAGCCTCCTGCAAATGGACAGCTCCGCCCACAGGGTGGGCCTGAGAAGGGCCCCGCCCCCAGTCCTGTTCGGCCGGTGGGAGCCTTTGGTCCTCTCTCCGGGTCCCTGGAGGAGGGTTCATCTAGACATGGGGTGGGAACGCGGGCAGTTGAAAATTCACCCCAAACATTCTCTGAAGACAGCTGGCAACGTGAGAGCCAGGCATTTTGGATTTCCCCGGGGTGTTCTCGAGCCCTGCTGTTCGGCCTATCAGTGCGCCACCCCTGGTTTCCCCGACTGGGTCCTCCGGGCTGACACCCCGCTTCTCTCTCCACAGGAGGGAAAGGGGCGGGGGCCGTGCAGTCCCTCTTCCCCTGGTTCTGCCTCTGCTTCCAGCGGGCCTTCAAGTCCTTCGACGATGTCTGGAGGCTCTGGGAGGTGAGTCCTCCTTGGACAGAGGGGCTAGACCCCCATCCCTTTAACAAACAGGGGGGAAGCCCGTTTCCTTGCCTCCCCTTTATTGCTGCTTTGGGATGGAGTTGAGCAGGTTGGGGTTTACGGGGCCTTGTTGGAGGAGGCGAAAACATCAGCCTATCCATCTGTCCATCCTGTCCCACCAGGACCTTCTTCAGGGCAGGGGGGCAGAAGGAGGGGCTCTCAGCCTGTGCGGTGGAAGCCTGGCCGGCTTTCCTGCCACTCTAACCCCCGCAGGCCTCCCTCTGTTCCACGTCCCCAGCTGCCCCTTCCTCTGCCTTCCCCTTCGTTTGAGTGCTGGCTCCCTGTGAGCTCTCACTCCTGGAGAAGGAGGGGCCCTCCGAGCACAGGTCAAAGGTGTAATTCTTTGATCCCAGGCCTTCGGGCCATAGGCCCATGAACCTCCTTGGGAACAGACCCACTGCCCACTTCTGCTCTGCCCAGCCCAACACTGCGCCTGGCATTCAGCGTCCCACAAGTCAACTCCCACCTGCCTTACCCCTCCCTCCTGGCCTGCTGGTTTCCATGCTCAAGTCCAAGGCCACCCCGAGACCCCTGGGGACACCTCTGGATTCTTGACTGATCAACCTTTGCTTTGCCAAAGCTCCACTCCTTCTCCTCCTCTCTCCCCTTCCTCCTTCCCCCTCCCTTTCTCTTTCCCTCCTTCCCTCTCGCATCCTCTCCTCCTCTAGCTAATGAATTCCCTGAAGCTTTTTCTCTGAGTCCCCTAGTAGCCAGCACAATGCCTGGGATCCCCCGAGGTAGCACCTGCCTGAGTGAGCGAGGGAGTCAGCAGTGAGGCCCAGGGATGGCCAACCCCGGGTAGGTCTGTGGTCAGTGGGCACCTCACCACCCAAAGGGCCAGGAAGCCTGGGCTGACACTCGTGGGCCATCTGCAGGTTCTGCTGACAGGGAAACCCTGCAGAAATTTCCAGGTGCTGGTGGCCTACAGCATGCTGCAGATGGTGCGCGAGCAGGTGCTACAGGAGAGCCTGACCAGCGACGGCATTCTCCTGGTGAGAGGACCCTGGGGCCGGGCCAGCCTCTCCCCCACCCCCACACCTCCCACGCCTCCCATGCCATCCCAGCCCTCCGGCCATGGCAGGAACTGGGTTGCCCTGAGCACCGTGCTGGTCTCATGACAAGCCGGATGCAGTGGGACAGTAACTATCACAGCAGCACCCTAATTTAACATAGGAGGACACTGAAGCCTTGAAAGCTTTTCAGCCTCTAGGTTTACTGCCTCCCAGTTAACCCCCTAGGCCGTAGGGTCCTCCTTGTGGCAAAAGACTGAGAGTTTTCTGACATTGCTAAAAAGGAGTCTAGGTTAAAAAAAAAAATCTAGGGAGACAGCCCAATTATAAAACAAGTTCTCCTTAGAAGCTCCTGAGACCCTCAGGGGAACCCCGGTGCCCCTCAGAGCCCCGTATGAAAACGACACTTACCATCTCCCCACAAATACCACATTCCTGAGGTGAACATTCCGGCATTGTGCCAGGCTGGTTGGGGAGAGATCAGGTGGCCCCGGCTACTGCCGGGAGCAGTGATCTTGTCCCCTGGAAGTGGGAGGCAGCCGCCTGTACCCAGGGAGACCTGTTTCCTCCTGGCTTCCTCTCCTGGCACAGGCCTGCAACAGCCTCATTGACCTTGACGCTGACGTGCTCATCTCTGCTGCCTGCTTGGTGTATGCTGAGCTCATCCAGAAAGATGTAAGTGGCCCTTACATCCAGAAAGATATTTGCCTTCCTCCTCTTCCTCCTCCAAGAAGCCTTCTCTGATTTTCCGAGCCCAGCCCTGGCATATGGCAGGATATTCGGCTGCAGAGACACAATTTGTGTCTGCCTCGTTCTCTGCCACCAGCCCATGGGTGCGGCTTGGCGTGGTCTCCTTGCTGTTTGCATGTGCAACTCCCACCTCCCCAGGGAGGCTGCGCCACCCGACCACGCTGCCCTCCTCCCTCATGCCCTGTGTCCATCCCAGCAGGTCGGGCACAGGGCTGGGCCCCCCGGGGTTCAGTAGGATGTCACTGGCTGGACAGACTGAGGAATGAGAGCAACAGACCAACGTCTGTCTGCCTCAACCTGCTGGCACCCTCCTCTTTCCCAGGTTCCTCAGTCACTGAAGGACTTCTTTCTCTGAGGACTCTCGCCATGGACAGATGCCCTCGACGGACAGGACGGAGGTGGTGCTTCAGCCGTGAGGTCCGACGGGCGTTAGGGTGAGGGAGTAGCTAATACAGCTACACAAGAAACAGCCTCTGGAGTCAGAGTTTGTGGTGCGCGCTGTATCTCCCACGGACACGCAGGGGTGGAGAGGAATGTCCAACAGTGAGAGAGGCCCAGTGGATGAGCAGGGAGATAGCGAGGCCAGTGAGGGGCAGGCACACCAGGGACACTGCGCCCATTGGAAACTCTTCCACGAATGAAGGGTTCTACTGTGGTTCCACACTTGGAGGCACATGGGTCAGGATGGAAACAGCTTCGAGAGCCTCCTAGCTTCCTGCGCGAGACAAACTGAACGTGTCTCATCCCTGGACCAGGTCTTGAGAAGAGGCCCTGACCACAGGGCTTTGCACACACACCGCCATTTTCCCCCTTACGCCCAACACCATGATCCTGAATTCAGTGGTTCATCCACGGATTCCCCTGCGGTCTGTGGAAGGACACAGCCCAGGTCTCTGGCTTGCAGGCCATTCCCCTCCTGGTTTCAAAGCCTCATAAGCACACTTTCATATCTCAGCCTAGAAAGCATCCTCAGACTAAACTCTTTTCTTTGGCCTTCGTCAGTCTCTCCAGAGAACGCCCCCTGTTCCCCAGCCCAGGCAGCCTAGTCGCTCCCTGGGGCAGAAGCTTGTGCTGCCCACACTTCCCAGACAGTGCTCCAGCCCAGAACCCCCTGCCCAGCCTTCTCATGCTCTGAGGGTGCCCTCAGGGCAGACAAAGGATTGGCCAGAAGGGGCTGAACCCACAGAGAGGCCGGGATTGACCAGTGCCCCATATCTGCTCTGCGAGTGTGCACATCTGCGTGCATGTGTATGTGCAAACACACACACACACACGCTCAGTGGCTACATCTTTTCAGAGGGACTGAAGGATCCACTGATTTTGCTGTGACCTTGGCCCCTAGGAGGAGGCATAACCATCCTTCCCCCACTCTTCCCCACCTGCCCCCTTCTGCTCCCATCCTGTCACTCTCAGTGACCGTCACTCAAAAGGCACTACAACCCCAATTAGTATCTGGTCTCCTTCCCCTCAAGTGACAGTCCCCAGCCACGGCTAGGAGTCCCTCGGCCGCTATATGCGTGCTGGAGGCGTGTGTTGCTGAGGAGTGGGGCCCCGGTCTCTCCGCCAGAGTCTTCCTGCGTGGCTGAAGAGCCAGCATTTCCAGGCAGGAAGTTCACGTACTGTGCTGCTTGGGTTTATGTTCCCAAGACAGCTGATTTCAATAAGGGTTCCTGTGTGGGTTACAGCTCTCGAAGAACAAAACTGTGTTTTCATTTTACCAAAAACCAGAGTAAAAGACAACTTGGGGGCACCTGGGTGACTCAGTAGGTTAAGCCTCTGCCTTTGGCTCAGGTCATGATCTCAGGGTCCTGGGATGGAGCCCCGAATCGGGCTCTCTGATCAGCAGGGAGCCTGCTTCCCTTCTCCTCTCTCTGCCTATCTCTCTGCCTACTTGTGACCTGTCTGTCAAATAAATAAATAAATAAAATCTTTAAAAAAAAAAGAAGAAGAAGAAGAAGAGCGTGCAGGGGACCTATCCCACTTCCCTAACCCTGCCCCAGAAGCTTGGAGAAGGCTAAATCAGAGCCATACTTGTGACCACGTCTGGTTTTGGAAACCAAGTCCAGGCTGCTCTGGCCACTCCTTCTGTGGGACAGGGGCTGAGCTGGGGCTCTGGAGGTACAAGGACGTGGGGTGCAGGGGTGAGCATAAGACCAAAGAGGGGTCGTTGTGCCTTTCCACCAGGCACAGAATGGCAGCAGTAAAGCCTGGGTGGCTAGAATGAGGCCGCCCTGTGAGTGTGGAAGAGGAGGGGTGGGGGTGAGTCGTACAGGAGTGGCCTCCTCTACACCCCAGGACCAGTCCCTGGCAGGGAGGTGGGGGAAGACGGAGGTGGAGAGCCGATAAGTTCCATGCCAAGGTCTAACCTGCCACATGCAGGCTATTGGCCGCACCCCTGGGAGTGAACAGAAGCACTAAGAGCCACACTGTCTCAAGAGAACCTGGGCCTAGTGAGCCTATAGCGGGGGAAAGATTAGCAACTGGAAATGAGGGAGTTGGGTCGCAGGAGGCTGGGGGCAGGGTAGAAAGGTAGAGTCACGAGCGAGCAGTAGCTTTGAATGTTGGCTGCACATGGGAATCACCAGGGAGCTTTTTAAAAATAACCCATGCCCAAAGCCCGCTGATGAAGTCTGACTCTCTGGGGGCGGGGCCAGGCTGTGGGTATTTTTTAGAAGCTCCCCAGGAGATTCCAATGTGCAGTCAGGACTGAGAATCCTGGTGCTCAGAGCAGGTGCCGGCTGGAGGGGCACTGGAGGTTTAATGCCCTCTTTCTGCTCAGGGTGGGAAGGGACTTGCCCAAGGTCACACAGCAACTGGATTATGGCCTGGAGAGGCCAGGAGTGGCTGTGCAGGGCACTATCCTGCACGGATACCGTGGCCAAAGTCTGCAGGGTCTCTGCAGCCAAACCCCCCACCCCCCAGCCTCCCCCGCACCTCCAGCTGCCCCCGCCCTGCCTCCCTACCAGAGAGCCCTGCAGCTGGATGGCTCTAGAATTAGGCGTTCCAACTTCTTTTCTGCACCAGCTCATAAAAGAATCTCTTTAGGGAATTAATAAGTGCCCAAGTCTCGAAGGCCTGACCCTCACCTGCAGTGTTATGTAAATGGCACCTGAACACCCACAGTGCCCCACTCAGAAGCTGGGAGCAAATGACATGCAAATATATGCAATCATTATGCAAACAAGGGCAGCCCCGGATTAATGGCCTCGATCCTTCAACCCAACAGCAGCTGTCTCTTTAGGTACAGGCATGGCTGACAGGGAGGACTGAGTCATCTCCTGTCAGAAGCATCCTGAGGAAGGGTCAAGAGGAGCGATTGTTCTGACACCTGGTGTGCTGATGGTCTTCGCTGAGAAATCCAGAGCGGGGGCAGGGCGAGGCTGGGGAGGAATGGGGGGAGAGGTCTGTCAAGCAGTGGGGTGTTCTTCTCAGACCAGCTTCTTGCCCAGGTCCCAGGTCCCAGGTTCAAGGTCAGCCATGAGCTCTTAAGGAGAGGTGGTGACAGGCATGGCAGAGGTGAACAATGCAGTGGGAGAGGTGACGGTGGGAGGGGTGGGATGCAAATAGTAAATAGCTGAGGAGATGGCAGAGGAGGAGGTGAGGGTGGTGAAGGTTCTGGTAATGGTGGTGATGACAGGGCTGAAAACGGGGTGGGAGAGGACGGTAGTGGCAGTGGTGGGGACAGTCATGGCATTGGCCATATCGCGTGCAACACGGGTAAAGTGGCGATGACAGAGGTAATGTTAACAGTGGTCAAGAGGGAGAGCATGGCGGTGAGGAGGGGAGGGTGGTGGAAGCCCTGAGGAGGAGGGGCCCTGTGATGCAGCAAATTCAGGGGGAGAGAGAACGGCAGTGGCCCATGATGACGGCCATGGTGCAAGTAACAGGGGCAGGGGTGGCATGGGGGGAGCAGCACCGGTCATTGCAGTGGCCAATATGAGATGAGCACTGAAGTGACAGGGAAGGTGACTATGGGGAAGGGGAGCTGGCGAAGGCGGGCTCTCAGAACCCTTAACCTCAGGAGGGGAGGGTGTGGAAGAACCTGCCGGGCAAAGGCAGGGGGACAGAGAAGGGAAGATATGGGGTCTGCTGTGCGGGGGAGACTGGACTCCTGACTGCTCTCTCCTTGACGAAGACTCAGCTACACATCCCCTGCCACTCAGGCAGGGTGACAGGCCTGAGGGCTGAGCCGTCGTTGGGGCAATCACAGCCCCCCTGGGCTTCAGTTTTCTCTTCTATGAAATGGGAGGAAAGGAGACAGACAACCAAGTGATGGGTGAGTATGTTCTCTCATCTTTTAGGGCAGTAGGGACCCTGTTTTCAGAGGCCCCTGTGGCTGATGGCAGGGTGACATGCAGGAATGAGTGGGGAAGGAGGGATGTCAGGGAAGGAGGGGCAGGAGGGGTGAGTGTGGGGGAAGAGAGCACATGCTAACTGGGGCTCTAGAGACACTGACAAATGTCTCCTCAGGAGACCACGGAAATGCCTGGTGTCACTCCTACCTCACAGCCCCGATCTCCGCATTCCTCTGTCACTCTCACCTCAGCTCGGTCCCTTCAGTGAAGGTTTCCAGAACTCTCCATCTGACAGCAACCTTACAGCTCTAGTTCCCTCCTAAAAGGCCACACCTTACACAGGCACAGAAGGAACTGCCTTAGTCCCTGGGCTCTAGAATCAGATTCCAGGCAGTCGTTGGGTGAGCCTGGACAATAAGCCTCTCTGAGTTTCTATTTCCTCACTTACAAATTAGGAATAAAGTTACTACCTTACGGATTACAGTACGGATGTCTGTAAGTGTCTTTGGTCCAGCAGATATCAACCCAGAGAACCCACAGCTGTTGGAAAGACACTCCAGGAGTAAGGTGCATCTTTAACCCAAAAAGCAGTAGCCACAGGAGAGAGGGGACCTCCAGGATCTGTGACTTCCCACAGCTCTTAGGTAGAGCCTCAGCAATAAGCCACTTCCTCCTCCTTCCCGTGGGACCTGCACTTGCACATTAGTCCTGCAGAGGGCGCGCCGCCTCCACGAACCAGGACCCTTCCCTGACTGGCACGCTGCTCCACGAAGGGGGCAGCCCACCCAGCGTCCCTCTGCAATCTGAGTGCTCTCTGGCTAGGTGGAAGGGTTGCAGGGGACGAAGCTTGGTCCTCGGGGCCAGAGGCGCTCTGGGGGACTGGAAGGGGAGTACAAGGAAGGGATCTGTTGTTCTTGGCTCTCAGAGGTCCTGAGCCTTCCACTCTGGCTGCGGATTTGCTGAGAACCAGCCATGAGCTTGGGACAGAGGAACCACTGGGATGCCCTTGGAAGTATCTCTTGACAGCTCCAGAGCCCTGGGAACAGGTGCAGTGAGCACC